GTCGAATTCCAGTGTGGAAAGAATAAGAACATGTTATCTGAAATCCCAAGGGCCAGGCAAAACGACGCACTATTCCAATCAGAACCAAAAATGTTCCTCGATAAATCGCCCCATTCTTGCTTTCCAGGAGATATATTAAAACGAAGACTAGACGAGCAACCACTTAGAGAAACACTGAGCCCACTTTCACGGTTCCAGACCCAGTATGATAGCAGCAGAAGATGTAAAAAGCGAGAGCAAAGCACACCGTGTCCGTCCATAATTAACATGCAAAGATCTTTGGTGTTTTAGCCTGTTTTTAATGATGTTTTAATCTGTTTTTAAAGGTATTTTAACCTGCTTTTAATGGTGTTTTAACCTGTTTTTAAAGGTGTTTTAACCTGTTTTTAAAGGTGTTTTAACCTGTTTTTAATGGTGTTTTAACTTGTTTTTAATGGTGTTTTAACCTGTTTTAAAAGGTGTTTTAATTGTAATTAAAAACAGGTTAAAATACCATTAAAAACAGGATAAAACACCTTTAAAAACAGGTTAAAACACCATTAAAAGCAGGTTGAAACACCATTAACAGGAGGTTAAAACACCTTTAAAGGCAGGTTAAAACACCATTCAAAACAGGTTAAAACACCTTTAAAAGCAGGTTAAAACACCATTAAAAACAGGTTAAAACACCATTAAAGGCAGGTTAAAACACCATTAAAAGCAGGTTAAAACACCTTCAAAGACAGATTAAAACACCATTCAAAACAGATTAAAACATTATTAAAAACAGGCTAAACAGGGTTAGACAACATTTAAAGGCAGGTTAAAACACCATTCAAAATAGGTTCAAACAGCATTTAAAGCAGGATAAAATAAAAAATTTAAGCAGTTTCTTTGTAACAAAATTTGAAAATTAAAGCAAGTTTTCAAAAACACCCTTAAAAGCCAGCTGAAAAACCCTTTAAAAATGAGATCAATCATATCTGGAGTTGTCTAAACCGCGTACATGTATATCTTGGGAATTTTCTTTAAAACTCACCATATTCACATACAGTTGTATGATTGTTTGTTAAAAATTAAAACACTACTAGAAACGTGTATTCTAAAAATTGTCTAATGAGATCACTAACTAAAGGTTTAATAAAGATTTCTAAAGGAAGAGCTGGTTTATTTTCTTTCCTACTATAATACAGCTATTAGCCACATTCATTTGAACAAAACAAAGGTCACAAGTTGTTGGTACAGTAATAACTGCCTGGTAAAACACTAAAGGATCCAGGGTGCAAAGAAAGTCAGTCTTACAGCCTGCCATTCGGGCAAGCTGTAGCTAGCATGTACTATAGCCCACAAGTCATTTCAACTAGCCCCAAAACCCTTTTTAGCAGGATTGATTACAATCCTTCTGTAATTTGAATTACCCCCCCCCCAAAAAAAAGCACTTGGCTGTCGGGCAAGTTAATAACAAAAATCACTAGCCCGATGGCAAAATCCACTAGCCCTGGCCTATCATTTCTTTGGATGCTGAGGATCATTCAATGAAACAACAGCTACAGCTCTGGAAACAGATAGGCCAAATTAACAAAAACTAGAATAGATTTCACTGATATAACTGAAATAAATAAGAATGCCGGAAAGACAATTATATTTGTTTGGTTTTCATGAAGCTTGATTTAATATTGCTTAGAGGTAATTTCTTCTCTAAGGCAAAGTTTCATAATAACAAGTACTGTACATGTAATTGGCAAAACTAAGCGAAATATAATAACATGCCTTCTAGCTGCCTTATCCAACAGTCATTAAGTAAGTTGCACTGTTGCTGGGTCAGGCAATTTTTCTCCGCCATTAATTCAGGAATGACAGTTAGGGTACAAAATATATAATGTACACTGTATTGACAGCATCTGAGTTCTTAATTGTACATCACAGTCTGTTTTTGTTGTTAATTTCCATGATACTGTCCTATTTTCACAAAAAGTCTGTATGACTGTTTGACATATATTTCTTTTAATCAAAAAGTGAAACTCTGTTAATACAGACACTGAGGGGAACATAAAAAAAAAATTAAAAAGTACTGCTAGAGAAATAAAACAGGACACTAGCATCATTATTTTTTTCAATTTGAAAAAAAGCACATGTACACTGTAGGTCTTATTACAGCAAACAGTTGATAAGAAAGAAACTGTATTAGTAAGATTAACCAAGATTAATTGTGACCGAATCTGTTGACTGAAAAAAGTTTTTGTATTCCTTAACTTATTATCACTAGCATTGTCCTATGGGTGTCTGTATAAAATTGTTTGAATTTATATAACCGCACTCAAAAGTGGTTTATAATACGATATGTTCGTCCTAAAATCAATATTTCCCCATCTCGCAACACAAGGAGTTTTTGAGCATTTATGGGGAAATTTTTTGTCTTAATTTGCCTGTTACTGCAAAGTACAATGTTTTCAATACAGTAAAAACTTGTGACTGAGAACCTGTTTTTAAGAACCTGTAAGGCTATAAATTTGCCAGTTAGGCCCCCTCCATACAAGAACCTAGCCTGTTCCAGGCGTTCAGATAGTCGAGCGTGGCGGTTAGTAGGGAGCGAGTTAAGAGCGAATCCATGCAAAAATCGACCAAAATCGCCGATTTGTGGCAAGGCTCAAAAAATCAAAATCGCTCTTCTTTTGCAGACTGGTAGAATTTAGTAAGTACACAAACGCTATGTATTTTTTTCTTCGAAAGATCTGTTCGTTTCTGAGAAAAACGAAGAAAACCGTTTCAAGCCCCACCGTCGATTTCGCAAGCCAAAAACAGGGTTGAAATTCATCATGATTCGCTGGACTCGCGTTCCAATACAACCGCGCTAGGAAGAAAACTTATTGCTAAATTTTAAGTTTAACTCGTAGTTGATCAAAATATATAATATTTTTAGCATTACAACCCTCTGAGTAATTAAAAAAAAAACTAATAAAGCGTACGGCTACCTGATGTTTACCCACGAAAGGTCGTTGAAAACAGCGACGAATTTCATCATGTGCCTTTGATCAGAATTTTTTCAGATTGAAGGGAAATACACAACAGGCATCAAACGTTTATGTTGTGTAAAAATTATTTTGGGGAAATCATTTTGAGCTTCTCAGAAATTATTTGAAAATCGTTTTACAGACAACAT